CCAAGATGGTTCACGTAGGGAACATGAGAATTTGCGAGCTTCAAGCAGAAAATATCACTTTGAAGATGAAGTGTTATATGATGAGCAAGTTTAAGGTTGGTTCAAGTGCAAAGAAGATGATGATGGTGGAAATCATAGAGAAAAACGAAAAGACAATTAGTGAATTGAAGACAGAACTTTTGGTTTTTGGAGCATTGAAGAAATTAAATAATCGTAATAGGAAGAAAACCAGTCAATTGAGGAGGATATGAAGAGATAGGAAAATATGTATTTAGGAATAATATTTTAACCAAAAACATTGAATTGTATTTGATCTTTAATGATTTTTATAATAAATTAAGTTTTCGAACATATTATGTATATTAACTAATTTTTAACCTAACCTATTTTATATAACACCAAAAAAACTTTCTTTCCTAATTCCAAGTCAAATAATACAATTTTTATCAAATCTCTCGTAAAACCCTCATAACGAGAGATTTGATCGCGTTATTGGCGAAATGGGGGTAAATTACCCCAAATGGGGTAAAATTATCAGTTTGAGCTGTCAAAATGACTCATGATTACATGAGACTTGCTTGTACTTTATGCATTTGGGACTACGAATATTTTAACAACTTAAACAGTGGCAGCTCGTCCATAAGGGTTGAAGGACTTCATAAAAAATTAAAGTTTCTGTTATATTTTAAGAAGAAATTAATTATTGAATTTATATAATCGTAGAATAAACGAAAAAAAGTTACATATTTTTAAATTATATTAAACGCCATTGATCTTAACTATAATTTACGATAGAAGAGAAACTTAGCATCTCAAACTCAATGTTTATTACTTTAGCATATGATGATGATGGAAATCATAGATATATTTTACTTATTTTCTAATAGTAAAAGAAAATCAAATCTAATTTTCTTACCTGACCGTCGCATTTATAATTTAAATTTTTTTTGCAACGTCAACTTCTTTACTATAAAAACTTTCCAATCTGTCAATGTAGGTGAGCTGTGTTTTATACCCACTTATATCTAATAAAATTATTTGACAGTTGCTTTTACAATTTAAAATTGTTTTGCAACGCCAACAAGAGACAGAAAACTTATTTTCTTTGACAAACTCTGACAGTTATATTATTATTAGTCTGTTATTTGACAGTTGCCTTTGAAATTGTTTTGGAACGCCAACAAGAGACAGAAAACTATTTTTTTTTGATAAACTGAATGAAAGTTATGTTATGATTTGTCTGTTATTTGATAGTAGGTTTTATTTGAAATTATTTTGCAAAGCCAACTTATCCTTTATTATAGAAACTTTCCGAAGTATCAATGTGCACCGTTTCTTTACCAAGATTGTTCAACGCAGTTCATTTATCCAAGTTTAGGATTTATCTCTTATTTCGCAACTGATTTATCGCCGGGGTGGGTCGAGTGTATATTTATATATATAAATTATGATTTTAAATTGAATGCTAAATGCGTATTGACAATGTGTCAGGCTGCGGTGTATTTACGACGTCCTGGCCTGTTCTGTCCTGTCGGCCTGCAATAATTACCATCCGAGGATCGTTCGAGTTGGCTGGCCCCAAACAAAAGACTAGAGTCGCTATTATCTGCAGAATAATTGCGGATAGCAACTTTTTTGCTGTTGCTGCAGTTGTTGTTGTTTAGTTTTGTTGTTTGGTGTTCTTTGTTTTGTACATTTGCTCGAATCATTTGTTGTTCGATGCGCATCTAAATGCATCGATACTCCAAACACATGTGTTCCACGTGCACTAACAGCGATTTATTATTACCCATCTCATAATAAATTAAAGCCATTCACAATAAATTGCCGATTCATCTCTCCTGAATACTATATTTACTATCTACTAAAGCTTTAAGAAGTAATACAGCTCATGAACTGAACTTAAATCGAAGCTTATAAATTGACTTAATAAATTGACAAAATGTAGCAGATTGTCCGTTCTAGAAGACAAATTAAACGCGACCCAATTTTGTGTCGTGACACTACTTTTGTTTGGAATTCACCAATTGAGATTTGAAATTAATTAACATTGCTTTAGTCTTTAAAATAAGAAGTAATATTTTTTTGGTTCAAGTTATTCAACAATTTAAATTAAGTTAATACGATCCAGAAAACAAAATGTATGACACAAGGTGACAACTGTCATTTCGCGATTCATTAAAAATTTAACATGAGCCATAGCTGAGAAACGCTGGTATAGAAGTAAAATTCCTTAATTTCCTTTGGAATTCACTAATTGAGATTTGAAATTCATTAACATTGCTTTAGTCATTAAATATAAGCAGTAATGATTTTTTTGTTCGAGTTTCAAATTGTTTGACTATCGATTTTTTTCCATAAGGAATCATTTAAATTAAATTCATCCGTTCCAAAATACAAAATTTTTGACGCTTTGATACAAGGTGACAGCTGTAATTTAGTGATCCATTTAAAATTTAAGACGACCCAATGTTGTGTCACATAGATTGAGCACCGCTGGTAGATGTACATTTGTACATTAATGTACATTAATTAACATTTCTTCATTCATTCAAAAAATAAGTAATATTTTATTGTTCAAGTTTGAAGTTATTCGACTATAGACTTTTTATTTTCATATGCAACAATTCAAAATTAAGTCAATTAGTTCAGAAAACAAAATGTATGACGCTGTGTATGACAAGGTGAAAACTGTCATTAAATATTACTCATGTCATAGGTTGAGAAACGCTGATATATAGGTAAAGTTCTCTAATTTTGTTTTGAGTTAACTAATTGAGATTTGAAATTCATTAACATTCCATAAATAATAATTTAAATTAATTTAATATCTTCCAGAAAACAAAATGTATGACGCTTTGACACAAGGTGACAACTGTCATAGGTTGAAAAACCCTGGTTTCAAGTTGTTCGACTCGATTTTTTCCATAAGCAATAGTTTAATGCTTTGACACATGGTGACAGCTGTCAATAAAAAATAAATTTAATTTGGAATTCACTAGTTGAAATTTGCGATTTATTAAGATTGTTTTGGTCATTAAAAAATAAGTAGTGATTTTTTGTTTCAGTTTCAAGATTTTTGTTCGAGTTTAAAGTTCAAACAATATTTTAATGAAATTTTCAACTGCACGAATTTGCATTCGGTTCTTTGAACGCAAGTAATTAAAAGGGAAAAGTGGAATGCGAGATGAAGCAAAGGCATTGTAATAATGAAATTTAATTAGGATGCAGGGTTTCCTTTGAGAAAATGACTTTGCGGCGTGCACGTACGATCCTCTATTTATTTTTTCTTCCTCTTTCCTTCCCTCTTTCTCCACGAAACAACAATGAATGCATGTGTTTGTCTGGTTTCAAAGTCTTTGAAACACAAAACCACGAGGCCTTCAGGCCTGACTGAATAATTGCCGGTTCTTTCGCCGTGTCTGAGACCAATGAATAACACACTATATGCGAGCTCCGGCACGGTCATTATTATATGTTATTCTTATATAAATATATCTACGCGTATGTGAGTATACGTATATACTTAAATGCGGACACGTAAATAAGCTGCAAACAATTTTAAATCTTTCCCGCCTTTAAATATTCATATAACAATCATTGTTTTAACTTGAAAATAGTTTTAAAATTGTCCACTACCGTAAAATCTTTAATATAAGCCGCATTCGTGTATAATTCTTATAACTTTTCATGATTCAATTTAAAATTGCACAAAACACTTGTTACCAAACATAGAATAATTATAATCGGAAATGTCAAATGTCAAACTCTTAATCACTGTCACAACTATGCAAGCTTGCTCAATATTAAACACTGTGATATAAAACGCGGGTTAAAATTTGTACTGTACTGCGTATTATATCGAGATTTTTCGATATTCACCTAATGTTCACGAGTTAATCATTGACGCTTCTATACGGGCGCTAATTTTTATAACATATTATTTTTTTATGTCTTCGAATATAATACTCATTGCTGGTTAAGCTATGTAAAAAATATGCGTATTATATTCCAAATTTTACGGAATTCATTCATTATTTTAGCTAATTATGTTCCAATAATGACAACCGAAAATGTCAAAAAAATGTAAAAAAAAGTCATAACAATTTAATATATATGTGTGTGTTTATATTACTCAATATTGAAAACTATTTTTTTCTGATGTTTTCGAGCAAATATGTGTAAAATATGGTGCGTATACTCGAGATATTATACCATTAATTGACAGTTTTTTTTGTTGGTGTATAATATGCACCAACGTTTATTGTGGACAAACTATGTAAAAATTGCGTATTATACTCGAGAATTTACTTAATTCATTCTTTAGTATAAATTAAAGTCCCATCTGTATGTGCGTTTATTCAATATTGAAAATAAAAGTTTTTTTTCTGTTCTCGAGTATATTAAGCACCTCATGTTGTTGTTTCTTAAAATATAAAGAAAATGTGCGTATTATACTCGAAATTATACGTAATACGTGGCCTATTTGTACGTGTCTTTTTTCGGTTTTCGAGTATAATACGCAGCTCCATTCATTGCATCTAAAATAAGAATAAATTGTGCGTATTATACTCGAGCTTTTACGCATTGAATTCATTACGTTAAATTTAAATTTGTGTCGCATTTGTGTATATTTTTATTACAGAAATTAGATTTTCCGTTTTGAGTATAATACTCTGTTCATTGCTTCTAATATATGAATAAATTGTGCGTTTTATACTCGAGATTTTAAATAATTAATTCATTAGGTTATGAAGTTTGTGGCCTATTTGTACGTGTCTTCTTTCGGTTTGCGACTATAATACGCATATCCGTTCATTGTTTCTAAAATATGAATAAATTGTGCGTATTATACTCGAGATTTTAGGTAATCAATTCATTAGGTTAAATGTCTTTTTGCATTTCCATGATTTTTTTTTGTATGATATTACTATATTCATTCTTTGTGTTTCATTGTTTTTTGTGTTATTAAAGAAAGGAAAAACAAAACGTTTACTTACAAGTGAAGCGGATCTCTTGACCAATGGGTTATCTTCGGTGCAGGAGTCTTGGGGACAGTCAGGTTGCGGTGTGGGCCTTCGGGCCCCGAATGGATTTCGTTTAGGGCTTAAAGAGACCAGCGAGGTCATCACTCCCACATCACAAGCGTGCACAAGCAGAAACCTGGAAGACGAAGAAATTAGTGCTGAAGATTATCGGAGGAGGCCATTAACCGTAATGAACCTCTCCTCTTCGAGCGTCTAGGCTCGTCGGAGGCAGGCAGCAACGTATGATAATAACTAAATTGATTTCAGAGAGGCGATATTTATGCCCTTTTCGCAATTACAATATCTGCAGGAGTATAAACCACTGGCAAACGTAACGATTAAGAGGCCTTATTTATTGTCGACCGCTGAGGAATTATAGGAAATTGCAATTTTCCATTAAAACCTGAATCGCAATTGCCGATCTGCGCGTATACATTTTCATACAAATTATAATGATACTTTCTGATCAACCACATTTTTTTTGTCTTTCATACAAATTATGATAATTTACTACTATGAGTCTATTTAATATTACATTAAGTTTATGAAAACATATAATTTTTTTTAATTAAAATGTTATTAATTTTACTTTTTCAAGATCACCGTTTTTCATTATTTTGTATGTAATTTCTTTCCAAACTCCTTGAAGGTTAACAATTTTTTTCATACTAATTATAATAATTTACTAGACTCAAAGTAATTATATGAAGGCTATTAAAAGTTTTTAAAACATACATATTTTTTCTTAAGAATCATATTTTCATGATAACTTTTTGTTTTACTATACTAATTATGATAATATATAGAAATTCTATTCAATTTTATATAAAGGATAAATTTGTCAATTTCAAAAACATATTTCTTATATTAAAAATCAAATTTATGAATTTTATGACTCTTGTTTTACAAGATTTCATTAAATCAATTTACAACTGTAATGACTTCAGTATTTGATGGAAATTTCTATCCAATCAGTACTTTACTTATATTTGGAAAAAAGACTAAAGTCAGAAAAGACCAAATCTGGAGAATAAAGTACATTTTCTTGTATTTTTAATAGTAATTCATGGTCTTGCCCAGAAAAAAATAGGTGTGTTTTCTCTACCAAATGAGGCATTTGGCTTTGATGTTGTCTTTGCGACAATGTATAGTACGGACTTATTATAGAATTTGTATATTTAACAAAAATTCAAAGATATTAAATTTCCAAAAAAATCATATTTAACTTATGTAACCTCGACATTCATATAAATCCGCACACATTTTTGTTTCTATCGGCATTATTTTTTTGTTCTTTGATAATTGAAAAAAGAAAACTGTATTATTTTCGAAACAAGTAGTTTTGATATAATAAGTTTCGTAATTATTTTTAAATAAGCTCTACAACTGTAGACAGCTGCAAGCTACTTCCAATGATCTAAAATATATACAATCAAGAGAACATTTTTGAACTTGGACGAGTTTATTTCGGAACATGACACTTATCTTATAACGAATGAATTATGTAACGACAAAAAAAAACGATATTCCTGTTATTTAATTTTATTCTTGCAAGACGAAATTTGATGAATCATTGCTATTATATAAGAATTGTTTGATGATTTTTATTACAAATATTAATTATTAACTAATATCTGCCTACATGATGACCAAATTAAAAATAAACTATGATTTTTGTAAATTAATTATGAAACTATTATTTGAAGTTATTGCTATTTTATATACAACAATCCGGTTTTAATCAGTGCGGATTCGCTATAGTACGGTTTGAAGATTTCAAAGCAAACTAAATTTTAATTGAACAAAATTAATAGTAAATTCTAAAATAAAAGGTACATAAAATTATTACTTTATACACAAATTATCTTCTTTTTCTTCTTTTTTATACAGTTAAATCCCATTTTGTGGAGTTTATTTTTATATGTTTTTAGTTCCACAATTTGTCGGTTTCAAACAGTCCGGGTAATTGTTGAAACCGGACTATGCGTGGTTTGCTCTATATTTCTAGTAGTATGATTAAGGTTTTTAATGTATAAATGAAATAATTTATAATTATAGACAAAGTTATGAATTAATTTTGCAAGCGATTTCCCAGAAAACAAAGAATCGTATAAATATGTTCAGTTCTTTAGTTTCATTCATGAATAGTCTATAATTTACACCGTGTATAATAAGGCTTCATTATCTTAGAATAAAATTAGTTTAAAATGGAGTTATTTATTACTTTTGCATGTAAAATCGAAGAACGATAAAATAATTGCAAGATTAGTTAATTATGAAGTTTCAACTATCAATATGTAGGTAATTTACGCAATTCTTAAATTAGTTTATTGGAAATATACATTTTTTCAATAAGCCATAATTAATTCAGAATAAAATTGATTTATTTCTTACTTTTTATTTAATTGCTTAGTTTCAAATATCAATTTGTAGATCATTTACGTAATATACAAATTAGTTTATTGAAAATATAAATTTTTATAATAACGCTTAATTATTATAGTTTAGAATATGAATTATTTCATAATTTTACAAGAATCTTTGTATAACTCCGTAGAACATTAAAATTTTCCAATATTTAGTTTCAGCTCTTCTCCTTTTCATCCCTTCATACCTAACAACCTTATATATAAATTTAAAAGAAAGAACTATTTCAACGTTCTTCTCTACATTTTGTTGATATCAACTTTTAATTTCTATTATGAAACTTTTATGAGAAATAATAATTTCTTCAATAAGAAAGAAAACTTGATTTCTAAAAAAAGACTATTGCAACTTTGTTCTCTAGATTTCGATGATAATAACTTTTCATTTTTATTATGTAATTTCTCTTTGTTAAGAAATTGATTTTAGTATCTTTGATTTTGCACTATTATACATCATATTAATTGGTTCGGTCCGGAATGCTCCACATAAAATTCCAGCTGAACAACAGGACTATAATTTCGTGGCGAGCCGCAATAGATTTCCCAAGTTTTAGTCGGCTATTATTGCTTTCAGTGTCTGCACCAACCGGAGTTCGCGTGCTTTCGCACAATTTGCCAACGAACACCGATTTATTTCTCGAAACATAATTCGCTGCAATTACTTAACCCGCAGCAAGAGCAAAAAGAAATGAAAATAAAAAAGAAACGAACTGTTGCAAACAAAAAAAAAGAAGAAAGGATTATGGTTAGTGGACATATTGCAAAATTACTATGATTCAGCTCGAATACCCCCAACACGTGGGACGCTCAAAAACTGTTATTAACCAAAAGCTTGAACTCCCAGAAACGCACCTTTCTTCCTGTCTTCAACTCCAAGACTTTATTTGCTTCACGCGTCTTTCATTCTTTTCCTTCAGATCTTAATCGTTCGTTTTTTTTTGTCTATGAGAACACGCTGATAATACGTTAATAATTACACCTCGCATCCATTATTTCCTAATTGTTTCCGGCCATTTTTGTTGGAGAGAAAGAAACTCAGTCCCATCTCGACGCATAATAATTCCTCATAAATCGTAAATACATATGCGAATCGCGCATTGAAATACAAATACATTTAATTATTCCTCATTTTACACGGTGCTTCCTTTACACTTTTTCGCTCTAATACGGTTTAAAAATAATAAATTAAAAAATTAATATTGAAAATAACCTATCTCTCGTTTTACACGATACTTCCTTTAATCATTTTCAATTTTACACGTTTAAAAACAATAAATTATAAAGTAAATGTTGAAAATATGGTATGCCTTTTTTGCATACTTTTCGATTTACATTCAAAAAGTTACAATTTCAATTCATACGTTTTTCTCAAGAACCTAGCTACCCTGTAAATTGAGAGATATGTGTACAATAAAGTTTTCTATAACACGGTACTCTTATAATGCATTTTCCATATAACTCGGAACAAGAATTCCTATAACACGATCCTCTGTATAGTAGTAACGCGTTGCAGGAAATCGTGTTATACCAGAATTTTCTTCGCATAGTACTGAATTTACACATTTTGTTATAGAAAAAGTTGTTAGCTTAAGAACTACTTCTTGAGAAGCTAAAGTTTAGATGAAAACAAATTGATGGCATTACTTGAAAGATATTGATATTGATATAAATAATGGATAAACAATTAAAATTTGAATGATGCGAAAAAAGGATTTGGGTAAAGAAGAAAATTTTCCTTAGAACGCAATACGAATTAATCTGATTTGTACTAATTTTGAGTTTCTTATAACGCGAATTGCATGTACCACTGTTCGCAGTTTCCATATAACATGATACAAATTACACTAGACTCCCGTATAACGCGAGTTATACTTCGTACAAATGCTAAAAATATTAGGACGATTTTTTTATATAACGCGATTCTTGTACAACGCGCAATATAACAAAAAGATGGAAGTCTCCGTTTACTTTAGTGAAGCAGCTCTTCATCATAACTAATCTCTTCAAAGACAATTTTCTATCTTGAATAGATAAAATAAAATTTTCTTCGTTTTGCACTGCATTTTCTTTGCACATTTTTGGGTTAACAACGAAATTATGCGTTTTTTGCATACTTTTCGATGTAAATTCACAATTTCGATTTACCGTGTAAATCGGTGGATTCGCTTTATACGAAGAAAATTATCATATAACACGATTTTTACAACCCTATTTCATACAATGCGTCATATTATTATCGTTGTACGGGAGTCTATAATCTAAAATGCACTAATTCTAAGTTTCTTATAACGCGGTTTTCATGCCACTTACTACCAATTAATCGCATTGAATGGTATTACAAAACATGTATAAAACATCTCGGTTTTTTTCTCTTATTTCATATTTTTTTTATCTTGTACGAATTATGCGAAATGAACCGTATTAATCCCGTCTTGACGTTGCGTAACAGCGAATTCGGTGCGCGCCTTTCCGATTCCTGGTATTGTGCATCCAGTTTCGTGCTTGACCGCCCGTTAAAATCACTTCACGGTTACGCGAAAAATTATATGTATATATGAAGAAACGAAGCACTCGTCTAGAAAAACGGCCATAAACACTCAATGTTAATCGCATTGAGAACGGAGAATAAAAAAATATAAAATGAAAAAGAAGTAAGGAGGAGAGAGAAGCCCGTAAAACTGGCGATTACACGGAACGGAATTGTTACGGA